CTATCCCATTTACAGTAGCCTCAAAAAATAAAATAAAATAAAATACTTGGGAATCAACTTAACGAAAGAGGTAAAAGACCTCTACAACAAAACTACAGAATACTAAAGAAAGAAATTAAAGAAGACCTTAGAAGTTGGAAAGATCTACTTTGTTCTTGGATAGGCAGAATTAATATTATCAAAATAACCATACTACCAAAAGCACTATACAGATTTAATACAATTCCAATCAAAATCCTAATGACATTCATCATAGAAAAAGAAATCATGAAATTCACCTGGAAAAATAAGAGACCCAGTATAGCTAAAGCAATCCTTAGCAAGAGTGAAGCAAGTGGCATCACTATACCAGACCTTAAACTATACTACAGAGAAATAGTAATAAAAACAGCATGGTACTGGCACCAAAATAGACTGGTAGACCAATGGTACATAATAGCGGACATAGAAACAAACCCACATAACTACAGTTGTCTTGTATTAGACAAAGGCACCAAAAACATACATTGGAGAAAAGATAGCCTCTTTAACCAATGGTGCTGGGAAAACTAGAAATCCATATGCAACAAAATGAAATTCAACCCCTATCTCTCACCATGAACAAAACTCAACTCAAAGTGATCAAGGACCTAGGAATTAAACCAGAAACCTGCGTCTAATAGAAGAAAAAGTAGGCCCAAATTTCCAACATGTCGTATTAGGTAGGCCCCAACCTCCTTAGTAAGACTCCTATATCACAAGAATTAAAATCAAGAATCAATAAATGGGATGGATTTAAACTAAAAAGCTTCTCAACAAAGGAAATAATCAGTGAGGTGAATAGAGAGCCTACATTTTGGGAGCAAATTTTTACCACTTGCACATCAGATAGAGTACTAATCTCTAGGATATATAAAGAACTCAAAACACTTTACACACACCCAAAAAAAAAACCAAATAACCCAATCAATAAATGGGCCAAGGAACTGAACAGACACCTCCCAGAAGATGTTATAAAATCAATCAACAGACATATGAAAAATGTTCAACATCTCTAGCAATTATAGAAATGCAAATCAAAACTACTCTAAGATTTCATCTCACTCCAGTCAGAATGGCAGCTATTAACACAAACAACAATAAGTGTGAGCGAGGATGTGGGGGAAAAGGCACACTCATACATTGCTGGTGGGACTTAAAATTGGTACAGCCAATATGGAAAGCAATATGGAGAATCCTCAGAAAACTGGGAATGGAACCACCATTTGACCCAGCTATCCCACTCCTTGGTCTATACCAAAAGGACTTAAAAACAGCATAACTATAGGGACACAGCCACATCAATGTTTATAGCAGCACAATTCACAATAGCTAAATTGTGGAACCAACCTAGATGCCCTTCAGTTGATGAATGGTTAAAAAAAAAACTGTGGTATATATATACAATGGAATACTATTCAGCATTAAAAGAGAATAAAATCATGGCATTTGCAGGTAAATGTATGGAGCTGGAGAATATAATGCTAAGTGAAGTTAGCCAATCCCACAAAACCAAATGCCGAATGTTTTCTCTTATATAAGGATGTTGATTCATAATGGAGTAGGTGGGGAGGAGCATAGATGGATTAGATGAACTCTAGATAGAGCAAAGGGGAAGGAGTGGAAGGAATGTGACTCTACTTGGTGTACAATCAGAGATATGAAAATTTGTGCTCTCTAGGTGTAATATGAATTGTAATGCATTCTGATGTTTTACATAACAAATTAGAATAAAAAAAGAAAAGAAATGATGACAATAGAATGAATCTAATATGATTTCCCTATGTACACATATGAAATTACCTAAGTGAACCCCACCATTATGCCCACTTACAAGAATGGGGTTCTGATTAAAATAAGATACATCTTATGCTTGTATAATGCTATCAAAATGGATTCTACTATCATGTATAACTAAGAAGAATCGATAAAATAAATAATTTTTAAATGATTTTTTAAAAAAAGAAGGTGATCACAATTAAAAATAAATAAATAAATGAGTGGAAGAAGATTAGTAGAACAGAAGAAGGGGAACAGGGCAGGGAGGTCGGGGAAGGTGGTAGGAGCACCAGGACTGAAATGGAGTAAATTAAATTCCATGCAATGATGATTATGTCAAAATGAACACAACTAAACATGCAACTATAATGCACTAATAAAAGCATAAAAAGAAAGTGTTCAGTGGAGGAAAAAACATTCAAAAGAAATAAAAATTGGGGGGAAATTAGGACACTATTTAAAGAATATAATTGTTTGGGGGATGCTGGGGCAAATATAAGAAAATCACAGCCCCTTCATAATCCCCATGCCACAAAAAGACCAAGTTCACCAGAGGTATATTTTCTCTGTTTTGCTTCTCTCTTTCGGCCACACTCCTGTATAGTTACATATCCTTTGAGAATTTGAGAAGCAGTCAAGGGTGATTTCTATGTCCCAAATACAGGAGTAGTGGGGAGTACAGCAAAACAGCTCATTTTTAAAAGTCTAATTGAGAACTCTCCATTCTTAGTAATCTATTGCAAAAAATTCAGCTACTTATAATGGAAGAAAGTAACCTCCAAATAGATCCCATTTATTTTAAATCTAGTTCACTAGTGTATAAACTACTCTCTCAGCTATGGTTCTGTGGTTGCAAGAAACAGAAACGGATTTGCTAATTTTAAAAGGACTGTTAAAGGGCAAATACATGGCAGACTAGAAAATAAGTTTGGAAACCATTAATAACCAATATGGACATAAAGGCCAGGAAACAGGGATCTCATAGCGGATATTATCAGATCAGAGTATCCATCTGGGACCAAGAAGAAACCTTTAGCTAAAGATTCAAATGCAAAGAAGGAACATCCACTTAAACAAGCTTGAAGTCATACACCAACCTTTAGGCTAAGTTTAAGCTTCTGATTACAGTTCCACTAAACTAACCATCTCTAAAAGAAATAAAAGTGCTATAAAGGGAAAACAAATATAGGATAGGCCTTTCCTCAAAATTTCCTTAATAATCTAACTAGCAGCAGATCATGGATTTCTTAAGACTATAATTTCCTAAAATTACATTAATAGTTGACCTCACACAACCAAATAAGGTGTTTTCTTTGATGCCTACAAAATTTCAAACTGAGAACTCTTCATCTCTACAAGTCTTACTTCCCATATTACCTGAAAGTTCCTTTCCATTTGATTCCTAAAGATAAAGTAGAATTTGCTCGTTTGGTAATAAAAAACTCATTTTGGAAACATTATCCTGAAGCTTCTACAAAGAATAAAATTCTCAAAATATCTAATGAATAAATTCATAAGGATGTTTGTGGGTCTGCTACTGCTAATAATGATGATGATGATGATGGTAGTAATATTAACAAGAGCAGCATCAGCTAACATCTACTAACCACTTATCATGTTATAAGCCCTTGACACATAATAACTCATTTAATTAACACAATCATGTAGCAGACAACATTATTATCTCCATTTCACAGATTAGGAAACTGATATACAAAGAGAGTGAATAATTTGTCCGTGGTCTATTATCCAACTCGAGACTAAACTCATGGCTGATTTAAGAGTACCAAGGCAACAAAGGATTTTCATTGAAGTAGGGAAAACAGATGTGTCAATGTGAAAACACTCTCCAAGAGGAATATGAGTACCGTAGCTATTCATAAAGACCACAAAGTTTTCAAGATGTCTACATCACCATTAACTCCAATATGTCATGAGCACTTATTTCTAGGAGTTACCAAGTACTGCTTTATTCCAAGAAGTGGTGCAATTTTCCAGAGATACATAATCTAAATGGTTAGAAATAAGTATCTACCTCTTAAGATAGTATTTTCTACACTAATAGCCAGTTACTAATTATAGCAAAATTCAAAACGAACCAGCTATCATGCACCAGATTTTGGCCATCCCAAAGAAAACTCTTCAAATGAGAGTTTGTGTGACTCACAGTTTGATTATTCAAAAGGGGGTTTCTCCAATATCTCTATAAAATTCTTCTTTGCTCTCAAACCGAAGAAGATTTGTCATAAAGTTAGGAAAAACTTAAAATATAAGGTAAATCAAAATGGCTTTTCATCTTTAACTAAAGTGGTCATGGTCATGATTGCTGTAATAAAAATGACAGAAAAAAAACCCTAAAATTGTCAAAAACATAATTGATGATGAAAACAAATGTAAAATTATGGCATATTTCACCCTGGCCACCAAAGACTCTTGATGAAACGGCAGCCCTATAATTCCCCACAATGAATTCTCTAAATTAAAACACTTCATGCAGAACAGAAATTAAACAATGAATCAAAGAACAATGCTGTACCGAGGTGTGCTTATAAATACACCTAGCAAAGAGGAAACAATTACATTTTCCATGTAAAAACCAACTCAATGGTAACGTTTCACAGAAGGCTGAATAGGTATTTTTCCCATTGCTCAAACTTGGAAGTTCATTTCCTGTAATTCACTTAAGATCCAGAGTGACTGGGTAGAATGCAATTAGCTACACCAACCTGGCTGGCTTTCTCTTTTCTACAATACTAGCTCCACCAGGCAACTGCACAACTGACTTTCATGATAAATTTCATCCAACCCAATTGAAATGCCACTCTGCATTTTATTTTAAATGCTTTATCTGGCCAGCTGGTTTTATTTAACTATTGACCAGAAATGGAACAAGTGCATTCTTTTTCCATCTAGCATTAATCTTAGTAAACTTAGCTCCATTGGAACGTCTTAACTGCTGAGAAGAAAGCTAAAGTCAGCAAGCATACCACTGCATTTGGCTACCCTCAGCACATCATTTCATTTCCTCCCGTTCTCTGCTAACTATTGCTCAGCACTTTTGCCTATGAGGGAGGACAAGCAGGTGGTTAAGGAAGTTGTCCTGTCAGCTATATCTTTAATCCAAGTGTTTAAATCTCTGAATAAAAGAAAAATCAATGTTGTAAAGGCAATGTTTGTCAAGGCCATATAATAAATACTCTTACCTTTACAGACCGTTCTGGATGGATTTCCCTTCTTTGCTGAGTTTCAAAGCTACAAAAAGACAGAAACAAAAAACTGAGGAGTTCACAAGTAAAACACAAAATGTTTTCTTTCCATGTTTCTAAATAGAATTTCCATGTTTCATGGTATATGGTATCGAATAACCATCAAATAAACCATTGATAAAATCAGTAATCAAATAAACCATTGTGTCTCATATCCCCTGCCCAAGAGACCAATAAGAGACAGTCTGCTATGGCTTGGATATGGTATGAGAATCCTCTAAGGCTTCATGTATTGAAGTTTAATTCCCCACTCTGAGGTGTTAAGAGGGTGGAAACTTAAATTGTTTATGGTATTTAGAGGTGGGAGCTTTGGAAAGTCATTAGGGTAAGACAAGGTTATTAGGGCAGAAACTCCATGATTGAATCTGATAGTTTTATAAGAAGAGGAAGAGAGACCAGAGAGACATACATAGACACTTGCACTGCTTGTCTCTTGCCATATGATGCCGCACACAACTTCCAAACTCTGCCAGCAAAAAGGCCCATCGCCAGATGTGGCCCTTTGACTTTGTGCTTAAATATCAAAGGGAGATAAGTAGAGTAGAAGAAAGGGTCCGGGGGAGGGAGGAGAGGAAATACTAGGGAATGATATTGGCCAAATTATATCATGTGCATGCATGAATACGTAACAACAAATCCCACCATTATGTACGACTATAATGTACCAATATAAAATATGGGAGAAAAATAAACATTTTTATATAACTTGTCTGGTCTGTGATATTATGTTATTAGTAATAGAAAATAGGCTGATACACAGTTATTCATGGCTTGGATATGGTATGAGTATCTTCTAAGGCTTCATGTATTGAAGTTTAATTCCCACTCTGAGGTGTTAAGAGGGTACACACTTCTGTCCAGAACAGAGTCACACAAACCTAGACAAATCTACAGTCACATCTTTTAGGACATGAACACCTCAACAGGAGAATGGTTTACAAAGTGCAGACATGAAAATCAAACTAGACATTAGTATGGTACATGTAATCTGACCAAGCATTTATTTTCTTATTCATTTTGCATCTGCCTCACATGTTCCATTTCCACTTCCTTGAAAAAGTTTTATTTGGGGGAGCCTATTCAGTTTATGTGAGGTGCCTGATCCTTCAGTCCAGACTTCGCCACTGGTCTCTGTGCTTGCAGGCACAACATACTTTTGCGAGGTAGGGTGCAGTCTTCTCTCAAAAGAAACTTGCAAAGCAGGAAGCTACTTCACATTTCCAATCAAATCTCTCCTTGTTAATTTCAGCTCCCTGACCAAAATATGCTATATGCACTGACCACTCACATATCAACATGAACTGTGAAATGATACTGTTAAGTAATAGTAATAACTTAAGCTTTGAAGAAGCAGATTCTATAGGGACTCAACATTACTCATATGGTAGTTCTATGAACAGAATTGGAACATTCCCTTTACCTCATTCTGGGCTAGATTCTAACATCTCCTAAAGGATCAGTAGTTGGGAATGACCAAATACTCCTTTCTTTTCCCAAGGTTCTTCCCCCTCAACACATACCTTCAATATCCTGAATGACTGCTTTAGCTCTTATGGGGCTATTTCCCTCCATATTCCTCTATCCTAACAAAGAACTCATTATCCCTGATGCATGACCACCAAAGAACAGGTAAGACTTATGGGCTATGATATAAATCTTAGAATACTAATGCAGAATTCCATGGAAAAGCATCAAAAAATTTTCCACCCTTATTACATGGGATATAATAATTTGTGAAAGAATAGATAAAATAGCAAGATATTATACTTTGTGAAATCAGAAATGGTTTTCGTCTGAAACATGGAGATTAGGCTGAATCCCTTTCCACTTCAAACACATAGATATGCTAAACAAAATTTAGTGATGAATAAATAAACAGAGAGGATGGAAGACAGGGTTTCTCTTCAAAAACATACCAAAGGCTGGGGCTGGGGCCCAGTGGCAGAGCACTTGCCTAGCATGTGTGAGGCACTGGGTTCCTTACTTAGCACTGTATACAAAAATAAATAAACAAATGTTGTCCATCTACAACTACAAAATTTTTTTTAAAAAAAAAGCAAAGTAAGATCTCCATAAGATAAATACAAGTATGTCACACTTAAGATACATCAGAATGAAGCCAAGAAATACCAAAGATAGATAGAAGAGCCAGAAAGGAAAAAAAAAAAGATTTCTTGCAAAAGAACATGGCATTCATAAAAGTAAGAGCTAGGCAGCAAGGGAATAGCATGTTCAAAGTGCTAAGGGAAAAAAAGTTCAACCAATATTCTATACCCATGCTAAACTTACCATTCCAAAAGGGCACAGACATAAGGACATTATGTGGAGGGGGGAGTGTTACCATTCACATAGTTTACTTTGCTAAAAGAAATACTAAAAGGCATAATTGAATAAGGAACTGATCCCACACAGAAGGAGTGGGGAATAGAAGCAATTGAAAAACTGAGAAACTGGCAAACATGGTGGTAAATCTAGTGAATTTAATAATAAATAATGATTATTGCTGAATAATTATTAATCCCTGGTTATAAATAAGGGGGAAATCAATGATAATAACAACTAATATTTAGGGTTTGCAAATAAAGTGAAACTGTGTGGTTTACCACAATCATATGGAACAAAGAAAGGGGGAATAAATAGGAAGAAGAGAGATATGATTAAGTTGCTAAAGATACTTGTTACTCTGCTAATTCACTTATTAAACCAGCATTTCTTTCTCTGTGAAGCCAAAAACCCTAGCACACATGCTCACAGAGATTCATACAAGAATGTTCACAGAAGTCTTGCTGGAATGGCAAAAAGTGCTGAAAATAACCCAACATCTGTCAACAGTACAACAAACACATTTTTAAAGATTCATACAATGGAATATTATACAAATTTGAAAAATCAATGAAACCATTACCTGCATCAATGGTGTAAGAGAAAAAAATTATAGAGGGCCATACATAATGTTATTCCATGTATACAACATTCAAAAAAAGCAAAAACAAATACCATATAGTTTAGAATTCAACATATGAATGGCAAGAAAAAAAGCAAAGAACTTATTTACACAGAATTCAGGCTGTCTTGAAAGGAGATGTAATAGGTGAGAAGCACTGGAGGCATTTTGGAATATGATGACGCTTTATTTTCTTGGCTTAGAAAAAGGTATTGGGATGATCAGTTTATCATTTTCTTTAAAGTATGTATGTATGTACATACACTTTCAAAAATTATTTTGTACAAATATGTAACAACAAATCCCATCCTTATACAAATATGATGCACCAATAAAAATGTGGGAAAAAAGATTGAAGAAATAGAAAAAAATTATTTTGTATGTATTCTCTATTTTAATTTAAAAACACATAAGAGTTATCACCAAGAGTAGAACAAAAAAAGAATATAAATTTCCAAATCAATGGTGGAAATAAAATGAAATAAAGTGAATTCTCCAGAGAATACTATAATGGAAGGGAGAAAGAAGCAAAGGAAAACAAGGTGAGTATAAAGTGAAAAAAAAAAAAAAAGTATTTCAAATAAGTTTAAATACATCAGTAAACAGAACAGATTAAATATCTGTAAAAATTAAAAATTTGCCAGGTCAGGTTTTTAAAAAAATATCTTGCTATGTGATGTTTTAAAAAATACATCTAAACATGAAGAAGGCTTTAAAGGAAAAGTATGAAAAACCATACACCACACAAATTGGAACCATGAGAGTGCTAATGGAAATAAACTTATATTAGGTAAAATTGAAGTTAGCTATTGCTACATAACTAATTGCTCAAAAAATTAGTAACTTAAATAAATAATTTATTATCTCTCATGGCTTCTATGGGTCAAGAATCTGAAAGACCATTTTTCTTCATGCTACAATGCCCATGGCCTTAGCTGGAAGACTTAACAGTTAGGGACTACAATCATCTGAAGGCTAATTCCTTCCCATATCTGCCAGCTATTGTTGAGGGTTAGCCAAGACCATAGCTAGAATACCCACACATGGCCTCCCCACATGTCTTGGGTCTCCTCAAAACATGGCACTAAATTCCAAAGACAAGAGTTCCAAGAAAGACCGGAAGATGCTGTATTGTTTAAGCCTCAGGCTTAAAAATCACATAACACTATTTACACTGCACTCACTGGTCAGCATAGCCACAAACCCCTCCCCTAGCTCAAACGAAGAAAAGAAAGACACACACATCTCCAAGTGGAAGCACAGCCAATCACATTGTAAGAAAAGCACATGGGACTAGGTAAATGTGTCGGTGTCATCATGTTTGGAAACCATAATTGGCTTAACATTCTTTACAAGTATCTGTGGAACATAAGCAAAAACATGACTATTAGGCTATGAGGGTGGTCTCAAAAAATACAAAAACTTTTCTTATCAGACTGCACTACAGATGGAAAGCAATTACAAAATGAGATTTTAAAAATACGTTTAAAAATTAGTTTCCCTTTCTTAACTGGGGCTGGACAAGGACATTGACCAAATCCCACTGCATTAGGGTCCATATCTGGAGTCCTAGAAAATCACCAGTCTGGTTGAGGATAAACTGGATTTGAAGTGTCCTTGAGACATCTAAAAGACAACATCCAGGTAAACAATTAAATATGCTGGTCTGTAGTTTAGAGAGGGGACCAGGGAGTGAGGAGCTCTCTAAAAGCAGGAAGTAATGACAGTTGTAAATATGGATGTAGGTGTCCAGGGAGATGGTATCCAGCAGAAAGAGAAAGGAACCTACAGCTGATTCTTGAGGAAGTTCAACATGTAATAGTTGCGATGAGGAGGGTGAATCCTACACAAGAGAAAGAATGGCTGCCAAAGAAGTTAAACAAAAATCTCAAGCATCACAGAAAGGTCAAGTGTATAGATACCAAAAATGTCCAATATGAAAGTCACTGAGGAATTCAGCAAGAACTAATGGAGACAGAATGCACTTTAGAGGTGGTTAAAAAAGAAGTGGAAGTCATTAAAGGAAGACTATGAATAAAGAC